ATGAGCAAATTATTAATGGGTACTTCTTTGTTTCTTGTGGTCTGGAGTAGAGCGTTTGGATTTGCAGAGCTTGTACATGTACTGTGCTTTTTAAGCTTCACAAAAGCAGATTTTTACCTTTACTTAAAAAAAAAAAAAAAAAAAAAAACAGATGGAACAAATATAAAGCTAAATATTAAGTTTCTCTTCTAGAGTTCATCTTCTAGATGGTGCCAGAAATGTGTTGGATATTTGTTCCAGTGTCTCTTTGCTCTGAAATTGATTGCTTTCCAAGGATTAGATATTTCTAAATTTATTAAGCGATGAATATTTTTCAAACTTAAATGTATCTATGTATGGAACTCAAAAAAAAATAATTTATAACTATTTAGTAAATTATAAAATGGAGTATAAATACTGTATTCTACAATTTGGTTAACTTTTCTCTTCTGTTAATAGCTAGCAACCTGACATAATATATATGTACTAGCAGAGCTGCTTAAGTGTGCATTGTCACTAAAAAGCATGAAGAATAATAAACCAGCAGTTCCTTTCCTTACAAAAATTTGGTCTAAGTTAGCATGCATGGAATACTTCCTCCCTCCCCCCCCCACAATTTAAAATGGACTCTGAACTGACTCAGAAGAATGCTCCACATAGAATATGGCTGCAGCAGTACCTAGTGCCTTCCTGACCACCATATAAAATAGTACTCTAGTTATTAATCCGATTCACTATTAATAAGCTTTAAAAACACGCCTTAGACTTACCTTTGAGCTCTACAAGATATGCAAGTACCTGTTGAAATACAGCTGTGGCACAGAGTGCAGTTGGTCTGGTGGGAACACTGGAGTGCAGGTGCTGTCCATGTGACAGTGTCGCACTTGTCAGGAACGCACAGTACAGGTAAAGTTAGGTGGGGCAGTGCTTTTCTGAACACAACAGAGCATTTGGGAACCAGACTGAACAACTTCCCCGTTGTCATGTCTGAGCTCTATCATTACAGAGTTCACAGAAATTGCAGTATTCATGGTAAAGTGGGTAGGCAGTACTTGTTGCTTAATCTTTTGGAAGCCTTTTGAACCCTTTCAGAAGGGCGACTACTTTTTTGTAAACTGTATTGTTCCTATACAAATAATAATTTAACAAAAAATAACTTATTATCACAGGTTTTCCTACTGTACAGTCTGTGAGAAGAAAACTGAAAAAAGAGGCTTCTACAAAATAAAGCAGAAAATTAAGAAAAGTATGCTGTTAGAAAGTTGTATCTATTTTAACTTGTTATGTACTGATTTAGCTTATCATTTTTTTTATTCTTTTGCTCGTTGTGTGTATTTATTCTAGACTGGTATGTGGTGTAGAGTGACTCAGAAGTGTTTTTAGTATTGCGTTACTGCTTGAGTGGAATGCCATGATGCTGTTATCTGTATCCACTTTAAATTTTTAAAGAATCAAGTGCAAATGCAGTTTCATAACTTGTCATCAAGATAAGTGTTGAGGATATGGCATATAAAGGAGATATTTATATAGAACGACTAATGGCATTTTCATGAAATACTGCAGTGGACAAGTGGAAGGATTTCTGTGAATGGATCAAGATCTACCCTTTAAATTAATTGTCCTGCACAAGGTGGTGGTCTGTTAAGAGGAGGGAGCACAGGATCTGATCCTATGAGTTTGGTTTTCTTTGGATTCTAGCATTCCCACGAAGGAGATTTTCGTCAGTGTGTATCAACAAGCTTGAAATTTAAATTTCTTGCTTGTCTGGGTGAATTAGCATCTAACAGATTGATTGGGATATGTGAAAACAAACACCACAGATTTCTGCCCAAATTTGTATCTTATGCAACATTAACCAAATGACAAGTGGTATTATTTGGGTCAACGGTATGCTTCCCACTAGCACAAACATTAATATTTTCATAGGCACATGGTTTTTGAAAATAGCAAGACCTTAAAAAGCATTAAAAGGGCTCAGGTTCTGTTGAAATGTTACAGTTGTGTGAAAGTCTCTACTACTGCCCTCAGTTTCAGCACTGGGCGTGTTAGGGTGCGCTCTCTCTCTTATTTGTTGACAGTTCAGTTCACCTCTTATGAAAAGTAAAAATTGTTTGCTTGAGTGACTTAAAGAATAATGGGGAGGTGCTCTGTTTGTGACTCAGTTCTTGGCTAAGTGTCCTATACCTGCAGTGCGGTGCCAAGATGCTGGCCTTCCCTCTGTTCCTGGAAGACGAGATCTCCTGCAGTGAGCACAAGTGTTAACAGATGCCGAGCTGTGGCCATCTGGAGACAGGGTGGTTTGGGGTACTCCAGGCATGGGAGATGAGATTAGGCTGTCATTCAGCTGTAACCTGCATCTATGAAGTAGCAGATTCAATTCTGAAGAGTGTGTCTGCGTGGTACCAAGTTCGTAGGACTGCTTTTGTTGCACAGATCTGCTGTCAAGGAGCCCTTCTGATTAAAACTGAATGAGGAGTGGGGCTGAATTTTCAGAAAGGACCTACGTGGCCATGGGCAAGCTCAGCAGAGAGGCAGTGGAGATGGTTCCCTTACTCCTTACTAAAAATCCTCTTTGCAATGACTTTTTTTTTTTTTCCTTAGGGAAACAAGCACACCATTCATCTTGACACAGTGACTCTTAGGAAAAAAAAAAATCAGAGACATGTTCACGTAGTAGTCTTGGGTTCTCCAGATTTTGTTTTGTTTTATTTCTCCACTATCTTATTCCCATTAATATCATTTAACAGCAACCGTTTGTCTTTTCTTCTTCTTGGCAATGTTAATTTTTTGTTACACTTAAGATTGTATCAAAGCACAACCACAATCTTTCCTGCCTTTCTTAACCAGCAAACATCCTTTGTCTACTGGAAGATTACAAACTGAGTAAAGCACATGCCTAGAGGTTTTAGTTCAGTACAAGTACTGGTGGTGTAAGGGCAGTAAACATAAGGTAATTGAAATAAGAATTGAGAGAAAGTTTTGCAAGTGCACAACTGACAGAACTGCAAACTGTATTGCAAAGCCTTAATAGTAAAGCCCTAAGTGAGTGCGCCTAAAAAGTAATAATAATAATAATTAAAAAAAAAAAAAGAAGCGCACATCACATATTCCAAGATTAAAATTTCAGAATTACAATAGGAGCTGTAAAATGGGAAGCAGTGTGTCTTGGGGAAAGCAGGAGAGGCACCAGAGAATGTGTTCTTTAGGGAAGTAGAAGCTTGCGTATGATCCTCTAAATTGCACATTACCCGGAAATGTCTAACAGCCAGATTAGGCAGAAAGAAGCTCTGCCCTGTCAACGCCTTGTTAGATCAAGAATGTTCTTGTCTTGCTGTTGAGATGGTTGGATTAGTCATCTGTTGTATGTCTCGTTTGTCTACTGAAGAAATGGATAAAAGTCAAGGCTTGGCATTTCCGAGCTGCGAGCTCAGGGGAAGGGATGAGTCAGTAAGAAGTGCCTAGCAACTGGGGACTGGAAGGGCTCGATTGCAAGGAGGTCTGACAAGGTGACATTAGCAGAGTAATAGAGTGAAATAAAGGCAAGCCAGGAAACATACACACTTCCTCTAGAACTGGACAGTTGCTTGGTTTTGGTTTCTGTCTCTAAATGGGCTACTTCTTTAACTTCTATTACCTTTGATTGTAACTAAGTGAACAACTTAATTTGTGCAATTACAAACATATCTATTCTGGCAGAAGACTAATGGATATCTTGGGAATGCTTCTTAGAGCAGGCTGACAAATAGAGGACCATCTAACAGTGTTTAGCAGACCATGTTGTATTTTTCCTACCTTTTTCGGTCACATAGAAAATCATTGTTTGTTTTCTGTATGCCATAGGCTTACATTGCTCCTGAGTCCTCATAGAGTGCATGCTGGGAAAGGATTTTTCGTGCATAGTTGTGGGTTTTGTAACATTTCTTAGTCTCACATTGTATTTGTTGTGGTAGCATTTCCAAGGACAGTGAAAAAAGGGCTATTTTAACTGTAGATTATTGAAGAATTGTGCTGCTTAATTAAAAAATCATAGAATGTCTTGGGTTGGAAGAAGGGACCTTAACGACCGTCTGGTTCCAACCTCCCTACCACGGACGGGGATAACTCCCACCAGACCAGGTTGCCCAGGTCCCCATCCAACTTGGCCTTGAACACCTCCACGGATGGGGCATCCACAGCCCCATCACATCCACTGAGTAAGAATTTCCTCCGAACTTCTAATCTAAATGTCCTCTTTTATAGTTTAAAATCATTCTCCCTTGTCCTATCACTATCTGCCTGCATAAAAAGCCCTTCTCAGGAAGGGCAAGCCCACATTTTTTAAGGAATCCCACCAAAACAAGGTGTTCTTACCCTTTTTAGCTCTTGTTCTCATAGTATTTCTATGGTAAGGAATAGGCAACCTCAGTGGCAAACTGCATTGTTTGGGAAACTTAGAGTTATATATTGGTTGTAATTATTTTGATAGAAACTATCAAAACCAATAAGTACATGAAGGATATATTTATGATCTTATGGAGATAAAAAATATTTATTTAAAGAAATATCTTAAAGCTACACCAATACAAAGCTGGTATAATTGTGAAAGAAGCATCATTGTCCTTACTCAGAACGAATAAATCAAGATGAAAATCTAGCTCTGCATTAATAGATACCATTGTGTATGCTTACGCTTGTTTCTTCAAAGAAATATAAACTGTACAGTATATTTTGAATAAAATTAAAAGCAAAATAACCTAAAAAGGGTGGTATATTGTCAAGTGCTTATCTCTACAGATACAGCAGAAAGCAAGAAAAAAAAATAGAAATTCTTAGATGAACATTGTTAAATAATTTTCCAATAGTAACAATTATTATCTTGAAGAAGGAAACTTTCAGTTTTCTGATTCTATGGGAAACCAGCCAGAAAATGATTAAGAAAAGTTACTACGTTACATATCTTATGTATTGTTGATTTTCTTGAGATCTGCATGGCCTTTCTTTCTTTCTTTTTTCCATAATTAAAATGCAGTTCATTTCCACAGCTACAGTCTTTCTAGAGTTCTGGAAAAGAAGGAGAGCTGTGTTAACCTATGATTGGGACCTCATAGACTGGGAAGATGAAGAGGTAAGACAAAGCAGAAGTAAACCTGTAGATCTTGCAGTGACCACTATTTAAGTGTAAATAACAACATACTGTATGCCAGTAATCTGAATTTGCCATTGAATTTGCCAGATTGTATTTGCATTTATTACATGAGTTGTAGAATACACCAGTGTACTTAAGACTATACAAGAATACTTGTGTATTCTGAGACTAGTGTTACAAATACTAAATATTAAACATGTCCTTTGAAAAACTGAGCACAAATCTTTTGTTTGTTTGTTTGCTTAGCTTGCAAAGGTTTCTTGAACAGAGATGATAAACCCAGCTGTAATAGCCATAATAATGAGGTGGATCCTTTAAAGAACAAGTCAAAGTTTCAGCTTTAGCAAGCCCAACCTCTAAGTCAACAGTGAACAGACAGCTCAGTTTAGCCACACATCTGGGCAAGGATGCCACAGTGAAAGTAAACTAGACTCCTGAAAGTGAAATGCTGCACATACAGAGGACAGAAGCTATGACTGATGTCAGCATGGATCCTTACAAGATTCTGTGGTCTCTGGTACTGAAAGTTCCTAATCCTCTCTAGAAATAGAACCAGGACGAACAAAGGCACAGAGAGCAGATTTTAAATCCCTCTGAGAGGCATAACTTATTCCTTTACATTCTGCTATCAGCATCAGCACTGGTCAAATGATTCTATTTGCTCTATAAATCACTAGTGAGTATAGCTGTAATGTAATGTAACTGGTGATTCACATGCAGCATAAGTCAATAGAGACTGTATCATGACTTAGTTTATGGCTTTCCACAGACTTGTTGATACAAGCTAGGGGCTTTTAATAAATGGTTTCATGTCACAAAAAGTACCATCATAACTGACATCGATTTATAGTTTTGTTATCAATTTCTGTAGAGAAACAAGTGTTTAAATACTATGAGCCATGATCCTTTTAATACTCTCACATAGTAGGGAAGGCTTGTAATGTTTCTTTCCTTCATTGGTCTCTGGCATGGTGTCTGAGCATTTTCAGAAGAGCAAATTGTTTGGATATTTGAGTTGGAGCACTATAAAAAAATAATTGGTATCAGTATAAATTTCTTATATCAAATATATGTCTGATTTTTGGTAGTTTGATGACATAAATGGTTCAACAAATGGAATCTCTCTTGTCATTCCAGGAAGAACTGCGCCCCCAGTTTGAAGCTAAGTATTCCCAAGTGGAAAGAGTAAATCCAATCACAGGAAAACCTGAACCTTTTCAGCCTTTCCCTGATAAGCTCAGTCGACTGATGGTTTCTGTCTCAGGAATATTTTTCATGGTAATATTTAATAATATTGGAATTATTGTAGTCTAGATTAATCTTGATGTGGATACTAATGAATGCATTCCTGAATATTAGTGGATATACGTAATACCAGGAAAACTGCTTAGCTCAATCTTACTGCTTGTTGAGGGATATCTTATTTTTAAGAGATGTAATATAGTTACGTTGTAAAAGTACAGCAAAGAAATACTGGAATTCAGCAGCTTAGTATTTTGGTTCTCTCAAAGACTGCTCACCAAAACAAATCAGAGTCTTTAAAACACTTGTTAATTTATTTGAGTCAGTAGAAATTACTTCAGATATGTTTTTCTTTGTTCTAATTTTTCTGTTCATATACATTTATCTGTAGATTTCACTGGTCCTTACTGCAGTGTTTGCAGTTGTTGTGTATCGTCTGGTAGCCATGGAACAATTTGCTTCCTTCAAGTGGTATTTCATCAAGAAGTATTGGCAGTTTGCAACATCTGGCACTGGAGTCTGTATCAATTTTATGATCATCATGTCACTCAATGTTGTAAGTCCAATTCATTTAAAGGAGGGATTAATTTAAAAGCAATTTATACAAGGTTACTGAGTTTACTCTATGTAAGAAGTATACATATTCTTGTCTATTTATACAGCAGTGTTCAAAGATAGTATTTCAGGTATTTCTTCCTCTTCTAATATTGCATGTGTCAGTGTTTTTCTCTACTGCCTACTTAATTTGTTACTACACTTCTTTGCTTATGTCACCAAGTCACGCTCATACAGAGTACTTCTTTCTACATTTGCTTTTTTTTCTCACATTACATGAATCTAAATTATTTTCTTGAAGTAAAATCTTTTTCTTTTTTTTTTTTCTTCATTGACTACTTCTGAATTCTCCCCTTTCTTATTCAAAATGCCTAGTCCTAGAAGAACTGTGATATATGATCTCGGTTTAAGCTTCTCCTGTTATGTAAACCACAGCTTTAATCATTGCTTATGGAAGCACGTTGTGCATTGATACAAACTCTTACTTCTTTAACCGCAAGAGCATGTATCATTTTTCTATTCCTGTATAGGCACAAATATGTAAGACAGAATAATAGCACGGCAAACAATGGCTTTTCTTTCTGTTAAGGACACTGCATACTTAATGCAGTAAGAAAGCAATCTTCAAAATAGAGCTGTCATATATTTACTTCTGTTGTTACATATGATAATTCTCTGTCATAGAAAGTTCATTCAAGTGAACAATCAGACCAAAATTATGGACAAAGCTAAGATGTTGTACTACCTTCACTGTCCTGATAACTTGATGCCACAGGGCAACAAAACAGCTATGCTGTGATTTTTTTTTTTCATTCTGTATTTGACATCACAACATACAGGATTCTCTGTACTTACACTACCTCTTATTTCTGCGTTAGGTGTACGAGAAGGTTGCCTATCTTCTGACAGATTTAGGTATGTATGTCTTTATTACTTTCTTACTAGCAGTGATATATATCTTCATACTTCGATAAAATAGTTTTTTTGAAAACTTCGTCTATGCATACTAAAATACTAGCATTTCTGTTAGCATATTGGTAATATCAGAGAAATAAATGCCATGATGACTTTGTTAAGGAAATGACAAAAAAGAGAAAAAAAAAACTTATACTTTGTGTTTTAAAGTGTAAAATGAAAAAAATGTTATAACAAAAATCAAAACATTTTCTTTGTTACAATACTAAAACAGATTTTTTTTTTAGTTCTACCCAAATGCTTTGTCATTTTTTTAATTGGAATTTAACTATGGAAAAATTGTGTTAAGATAAAATTACATGGTTCAAGATAAAAATGTCATAAATTTTAAAGTAGCTCTAATTCTGTAACATTATAAATTTATGCTAACGCTTCTCTTTGCTCTTTATAAAGCTTTTGATGTATAGAAAACAAGAAATTCCATACAGCATTTAAAATCTCCTACTATATGAATGTTATCTTTCAGTGTTTCTTCTCACATGCTGTCTTTTTTATCCCATGTCCAAGTACACAGCTGATCTTGTCGTATTTTAAAAGCAACCTTGCTGCTTAAATTTAATAGCTCCCTCTTCTGGTTAAAATATTGAAGAGCATACGTGAAACGACATGCTTAAAAAATTGTGCATTACAGGTAACAGGCAGTTGAACAGATTAGAAAGATTCAGTAAGTGTAGTCAATTTATTCAAGTTACTAAAACACTCAAGTACTTTTTTCAGATCACAATTTTTTCCCTCTTAACTAAAATTTTAAAATACATTGTTACATACCAAAGAATTGGAAAGAAAATAGTGATTCTATTTACATAGATGACCTCTTTTTTCCCATAACACATTTTAAATAAAACAGTTCATCTTGAATTAAGCATGATGAAACAGGTTCCATCTGTGAAATAGGTAGCTCTTCCTAAAGTGTCCTGCTTCCAAGAGCAGGAGAGAATCCTACCTTCTGAGGAACATCAGTGTCCGTATGTAAATTTGTAGGATGTTTTATTTCAAAGCAGGCCGCATTTTTAGAGGTAAACAATCACATAGTAGAAAATATAACTTAAAAATCAAGGCAGTTTGGATTTCTAAATCATATAAATATTTGGAAATTTTATTCTATGTACTATATTCCAAACTTGATGCATCAAAGAAATTTGAAATTTTTACACACACACACAAAGTTAATTTAATCATTTGCATCTAGTTCTAATTCCTTACATTCTGCATTTGTTCTAATTCTTTATGTTCTGCATCCTGTTCTAATTTCTTTACATTCTGCAAACTGTAAGGAAAAACATCCAAGCCAGTGTAAACCTACACAGAATATTTGTAATCCTGAGAAACATTTCTGCAGTTCTTTTCAAAAGCACAGAAGGAACTCCATTGTTTCTTCATTGTGTTATAAATTGTTTTAAACTTCACAAGCATTATGATAGAGGAAGTGTCAAGGATGAAGTAGCGGTCTTATGTGGAAGTATTTAGAGGGTGAGATATTTGAGTGAGAAACCAACTGACCATTGGTTGTCTCTTTTCCATCTGCTTTCCCTGGCAGTCCCTGTCTATTGATCTGCTGATACCACATGCTTTTGTGTAACTGTGAAAAATCAAGATTCCTCTAGCCTTAAAATTAAACATTCACACTGAATTCAGAACTTTTCCATAGAAGTGGAAATATACCTCCTATGAGAGGTATCTTCGCTCTGAGCTATTCTGTACCACAGGGCTTGTCTCTTCTGTTTCCACACAGAGCCATCCTAGCCTGAGCTGAGCATTTTGTGACCTGCAGCTGGAATACTTGGAAGGGGAAAAAAAAGTTAAATGTGACCGGGTGGGGCCCTATGACTTGAAAGCATCACTTGTTTTGTTAGTGTTGATTGATCTGTGTGCACTTAGGCATTACTCAATTTAATTTTTGTTTATATGATATATACTGTGTCTTTCCATAGAGCACCCAAGAACAGAATCCGAATGGGAAAACAGCTTTGCCTTGAAAATGTTCCTCTTCCAGTTTGTCAACTTGAACAGTTCTATCTTTTACATTGCCTTTTTTCTGGGCAGGTAAATTATCTTTGCTAGCTGCTTTTGAAGTAAAGTTCACACAAGTCTAATCATTTTACAGGATTTAGGTTTGACACAGTTTCTGAGTGTAAATAATAGTACCAATTGTTTCTAACGGCATGCAAGGATAGGACTCTTGAAATCTCAGGAAACAAGGCAGTGAGAAGTCTACTTTTTAAATGAGTGTATGTAAATATCTTTCCTACCAAAACAAGAAATCAGAACTTCTGAAAATACAGATGCTTCCTAAATGTGCATCTGTATTCAGCCCTGCACTAATAAACTTGATTCATTTTTTTTCTCCCTTATTCACTTTTGGTTAGTTTTCCATTTCTATAAATACTAGCTATCGTCTGGCATGTATTATACTACATTAGGAGGTAAAAATTCTGAATTCATGTTTTGTACTTCTCTTCAGCTCAGAGCAGGAGTTATTATACAGTTCTAACCTCACCTTCACCTGAGTTGCTCTACCATCAGATTTGCCTGTTTGACAGAGTCTACAGATGATTTCTGAGTAGCTTCTATAATGTTTTATAATGTAATTTAAGTTCAAGATTGTTTGAAAGAAAAAAAAAAAAACTTGAGTAAAGATAACACCTGGTTGTTACATCTAGTAACAATCATTTGTTACAAGCAATACATTTGTCATACAGTTTCTAAACTAATATGTGTCTTGCTGTGTACTGTGTCTTATAGGACCAGACCTCTTATTTTTTCTTTCTCATCTGCAACTGTCATTGAGGTTATTAAGAATTTTGATTTAGTTCATTATGCAAAAATCTGTTAGATCTCTAAGAAGGGTTTAGTTATAATGTGTGTGGAAGTCATTTTATGCTTTTATGTCTGAGGGTGCAATCCAGTGCACATTTCACTCAGCCAAGCAGATCTCTGTGCTGTAGTAAATTCCTACGTATTGCAATAGTTTATCTTCTTAAAAGCAGATTAGAGAGTTTGAGTATCTAACATCTAAAACCTCTGAAGCTAGGATTTTTGTTCCGGACATAATAAAAGCTTAGGATTGCTTGCAAAATGATGGTTCCTTTGCTTGTTTGCGTTCTGAAACTACCATATCCCACAGATACTGGATTTAAGCCTGTGTGATTTAATCTGTTTATATTTCATGAGTTTGCTCAGTGGATGTTGTGAAATAACTACTGATACAGAGCGTTCTTGGAATGTTCACTGAGAAGCAGAAATATTATTTTCCAGATTTGCAGGCCGCCCAGGAAAGTACAACAAGCTTTTTAACAGATGGAGACTGGAAGAGGTAAGCAATCCTGTTTTGTGTTCCTGTGAAATTTACGTGAGTAAAAAGTAAAAGCCTGTAGGACATGAACTATGTCCAGCTTGAAAGTATTATTATTCCGTTTAAGTGTGGTGAAGAGTGAACTCTTATTTATAGCAAAGGATAGGAAACAGGAGATGTGTTTTTCCTTCTGTGTTCTCCACTGTGCTGAGTGACTGCACGACACACACAGTTCCTTCTGCCTCTCTCTTTGAAAATCAAATAGTGATACTCTCTTACCTTCCTGGCACTTTGGCACTACTGGGTCCTAAGTGATTGGTATCTCCTGGCTATGTGGAATTTTTGGATGGAGGACATATACATAATGCCATCAGCTTTCCTTATCATCTCCTAAAGTTCTTACCAGTATGAAATGATTTAAAAGATGAAAACTAATATTTTCAAAATTTAGCTTGAAAGTATGTTAGAACTGCACCTTCTTTGGTGAGAGTAGCACACTGAAGCTATCTCCTGATTCTGAAAAACATGCTTCTGCAGAGCCTTGGTAGCCACAAAGTAAATACTATAACTTTGTAGTCTGTGGTCTAAAAAAATACTCTGTAATTGCCACGCGTGTTAATATGTTACTTAATTTAGCACACACTGTTTTGGCAGTTGGTATGGTTAAGATACTGGTAGCACAGATTCTGCTGCTAAGTCTCAGTTTGGATCTAGGCTATTACAAATAAAATACTACTTCGTTCTTTTTTAATCAAAACATATGTATTGGTCTAAATGATACAAACTATATTGTTTAACATATATCTAGCACACTTGCCCTTAGCCCAGGTAATGTTCTTCAGTTCTCTGAAAAATAAAATATCTAAAGAGTGTTCCATTAAATTCTGTGTTAATACTTCTGTTATTAGTATTTTTATTAATATTTTTGAGTATTTTTCTCCATACCTATTTCAGTATTTTCTATTCACCCTGTGAAAAAAATAAAAATTTACAGAATACTCTGACTTTAACTACGAATCTTTTTCTTTTTCATTTCAGTGTCATCCCAGTGGCTGCTTGATAGATCTGTGTCTGCAGATGGGAGTTATTATGGTTTTAAAACAAATGTGGAACAATTTCATGGAACTGGGCTATCCGTAAGTTCTGTTGCTAATATTTGTTTTACAGATAATGGTTCCATATTAGTGCTGATTCGGCAACAGGGAAACATCTTTATATGAATGGAGGGTAAAATACCACCTTTAATTAAAATTTATCATTGTCTTGACGAAGATCGTGTGCATGTCCATTGCTGATCTCTAGAAGTATACTTTCAGAAGGACGTAAAATTGAATACTTAAGCAGGTTCAGGTTTAAGTGTTTTGCTTTATCACTCAAAACATAATGTTAGTGTTGATTTTCAGCCATCCCCAAAGGGTGACAAGGAATCGTTACTAGTGTTTAAATAGTTTTGTGTTCAGTAATGGCTCTGAGGCCTAAAAATACAGTTGTGAAATACATAACTGGGTCTATGTTCTTTCCTTACATGCTGTAAGAAAAACTAGAGTAAAAATAGTAGACTTATGCCAAAATAACTGTTTCAAGAACAACGCATGCCTGGAGAATGTTTACAGTGTTTGCATCTCACCATCACATACTGTAAATTTACTCCCATGGGAAGCAGTTAAAAATAAATAAATTAAAAAAAAACATGTTTCTCTGGCTACACTAACTAGCTAAATTGTTTATTTTAAGTTCATTTCATTTGTCCTAATACAAACAGAGCTGTCCAACTACTGAAAAGAGTAATGGGCTAAGAGTTACAGTTCTTTTGAAACTGGAAAAACATATTTTCAGCAAAGGAAAAGGTTGCTCATCAAATGTTAATTTAATCCAAGTCTTAACCTTGATAATGTCAGAAAAGGTTACGCTTACAATGTGCGGGCAGTCACTACTGCATTGTTGTGAGATGTGCATTTCTGAAAAGAAATCTACTTGAATTATCAGGCTTCCTGTCTTTTCAGCCCAGCAGTATCTTAATGCTGTCAAGAATTTATTTTATAACATGCTTGTGTTCCTTTACGGAAAGCAGTGTTTTGTTTTGACAAAACCATTGTTTGCAACTGAGGTCATTCAGTAACAAGGCAATCAGGAGTGAAGCATTAAATCAGTCTGAGCAGGAAAAAAATCATAATAAAAATACTTAAAAATTATTTCCCATATTTGGTCTTTTTTTTTTCTTCCAGTAATACCTAGAAACAAATAATAGCCTTTAAGTGGTACCTTTGTCAGTACTTTATATTTTCCTATGTATAATACGTCAATGTATAAGACCATTTAATAATTATAACTGCTTTGTGAAAGGACCTCTGCACAGCTTCATAAAACGTCTTTAGCAGCATCTTTTTGGATACCATGTCTGGCTTCAAAAGGAAAAATGTCCTGTAGAACATCTAGATTTATAGGTTTGTTCAAAAAATTAATAGGTATATACTACTGTTCAAAATACTCCAGTGCCAGCGTTCCTAATGAGCTCTAGTTACTTGGTTTGTCTTTTACAGTATTAATAATAAAGCATTTTTCTTTTAATGCTTTCAGTATATGTGATTTTTTTCTTGTTCTTTTTTATTGGTACAGGTAAAAATCCTTTTTAAAAAAAAAAAAAGGCAGGTTCTGTATTCTGAAAAGCTTGTTTGTACAATGCCTGACATGCTATGTTAAAGACAAAATTTAAATCATCATGAAAAGTTGAAAAGGTGTGAAAAATATTTGAAATTTATTTTACACAATATTGTAAATATTTCCAGAAAAAAAATACTTAACACTTAGGTCCCATTCAAAACAATAGCAACTAGTATTGCAAGTTACTGAGTAAAAGCAGTCAGTAATACTTCGTCTAATACAGTTTATTACAGAATTGGTGGTCACGACGTAAAATGAAGAGAAGAGGACAATCCATGGAGCATAAGATTTCTCTACCTCAGTGGGAGAAAGATTGGAATCTGCAGCCTATGAATCTCCATGGCTTGATGGATGAATACTTGGAGATGGGTGAGCAAATTTATGGAGATGTCGGGAGGGTTTTTTTGTTTTGTTTTGTTTTTTAATGAGAAGGGGCTGGGCAAGTGGGAGGGGAATGTTTTAGGTTAAAATAACTTTTTGCACATCCAATTTCTAACCACAAAAATGCTCATCTAGTTTTACAGTTTGGCTTCACCACTATTTTTGTTGCTGCCTTCCCACTGGCACCTCTCCTGGCATTGCTGAACAATATCATAGAAATAAGGTTAGATGCATATAAGTTTGTCACTCAGTGGAGAAGACCTATGCCTGCAAGAGCAACAGATATAGGTGAGAGAACCGAACTATCACTGTCTTCGTACCATCTCTCTTTGTTGTCGTCTTTGTAACTTGCCCCTTGAACTGGCACGTAAACTACAGATACCAAGGATGACTGTCCTGTTAAGCAAGAAAAACAAACTCAGCTGCTTAGCTAAAAGGACTTCTCAGATTTTCTTTTCCTTTCTAATAACGGATTGTAACAGTTACATGTAAAAGTTTGAAAACAGGCCATTTGTTTAGATGCTTAAATGGTATTGCTTAAATGGCCCTTGTGTCAGGCTTCTGATTTGTGCAACTCCAGATCCAAGGTGCTCTCCAAAACCAATTGAATTTTAAATTGAAATACAAGAATTAAATTCAATTTTGTTTCAAAATAGAATTAAATAAAGATACATAAGTGTCTTTCCAGAGCTTTGTACGTGGCCTTGATTGCGTTCATTGCTTAGCTATTTCTTCCCAATAGGGTGTGCCAGACTTCATTCGGGTGTAGCCTGTCATGGCAAGAATGTGAAGATGTGGCTTAATCTTCACTGTTTTTTCTGACTCAAAATTTCTTACTCAAGAAGCAAGGAAAAGTGTGTGACAAATATCACTAGTATGACTTTTTATGACTCAAAATCACTATTAAAAACTAATGGTTTTGTTACTTATCTTGTTTGTAGGTATCTGGTATGGGATTCTTGAAGGAATTGGAGTTCTGGCTGTCATCACTAATGCCTTCGTTATTGCCATTACTTCCGATTACATTCCACGTTTTGTCTATGCATACAAATACGGTCCCTGTACAGATCAAGGATACAGACAAGAAAAGTAATGAAGATTTTTTTTATATATACATGCATATTTCAGTGGAAGCACACTTCTGCTTCTGTCTTTCTTTGTAAACATATTTCATTAGTAATATTTTATCCTTTACATCTTTATGATTTTTTTCACGTGTTTGGTGTAAGTAACTTAGCCATTCCAGAGAGTTTGCTGACAAGCTCCACAGTTATATTGGCAGAAAATCCTTGCTTCTCTTCTAAATACACACTACAAAATTCAGTGTACATTGCCCACAGTTTTCAGGCACTTCCTAGATGAATTGTTCTTTTCTGCAATGGTTTTGGTCTGTGTTCTCCCACTAAGTTCCCACACACACATCTATGTTCCCAAACATTCTTGTATCCTAATGTTCTCTGTCTATTTCTCTTCAGAAATACTTTCTGCCAAGGTCCAGAAAGATTGGCCTTGACATTCTTTAGAACAGTTCCTTATATCATGCTTCTTGACCTCAAGCAAGGTACCTTTCCTTTTTAGCACAACCAGGCTGGTTTCCTAAACTTCTCTCCAGACACTTACTAATGTCTCTGAGTTTGAAGGACGCGTTCTTTGAATACTAACCAGTTATCTCAGGCCACCGTTTCATGATCACTGCAGCCAAGGCTGCCCTTAAGTTTCACATTTCCCACCAGCTTATCGTTGTTGGTGAGAATAAGATACAGCAGACTGCCTCACCTCATTGGCTTCTCTCTGTAATGAGGGCTACCTGTTTAATAGAGAACTGTGTAATCCTATTTACTCTTTTTCTTGTTGTGATTAGAAGTACTACAGCAAACCTCAGGGAATATAACAAATACATTGTCTTTTTAAATGTTCTTTGCCTTTTAGGAGCCCCTTCTTTACATTACAGGATACATTTTCAGTAGGACAGCATGGCTTAGGTGTCTGGTTTTCCAGGAACATGTAAAAATTACACTCCTGCAGTCATAATTCAGTATACTTAAGTGTTTTATAACATTAACACCAATAAATTGTTACCTCCAAATGTCTATTTCGTATATATATACTGTTCTCTTTACTGTTGTTCTTCGATTTGGTTCATAAAACCTGTCATTTTTTTCAGTATATGTTGCATGACTAGTGGCAGATTATGCAAGGATATGAAATTATTCTCTTCTCTTCCTCTCTAGGCATCTTTGTAAGTTCAATATTTTTAAGAGACAACAGTGAAGAATGCTGTTTCTAGCAAAATGGTTTGTTTTATAGCTGCTAGTAGATAAGCAAACAAATGAGAAGTACTCAAAACATTTTAAAAAATGTGTTATCCCTGAAACAGAAGTTATTTGATTTCTCCCCAAAACACTTGCCTTTTTACATAGAATTTTAGAATTGCTTTTGTCCTTATAAGCAAATAAAACAGTATGCTCACAGTATGTGAATACGCTTACATACAGAATTTACGCTATATAAACCACTTTATAAAGAAAATCCTGATGCTATGTCTTTTTCTTTCAGATGCTTAAAAGGATATGTCAACAGCAGCTTATCAGTATTTGATTTGAGTGAACTTGGAATGGGATACTCAGGATACTGCCGGTATATTTAGATTCTCCCCCTGCTGTAATGTAGACATAGACATTATTATAGACATTAAATTGAAAGTCAGTGATTAAATTACTGGCAAAAGAGTTTAATTTTTGCCTGTAAAAGTATTCAAGTTCACGTTTGTTTAACAGGGAAATCTCAGATGCAAAAGCTGTGTTGCAGGATGCAATGCTAAGATGCTGGAAACCCATGTTCTAATCTTAGCTTTTCCAGGACTGCAGTAAGCCATGTGTTACAGGCCTGTATGAATTATTTCATTTGGGAGTTTCCCAAATGAAATAAGGCTAAAAATTCTTGTTTCATTTTGGTTCAGCACTCTGAGGTCTATTAATTAAAATATGCAAATAAAATCTTTGTTATGTCTGTAACCCAGCCCAATATGACACACAGTTATGCAAGATAAATACAAGAAATTCAGCATAAAGATTAAATATGACAATGCATAATTGTACTACTTCATGTTTCTTATTTAGCTTTATAGTGAGAGTTAGCTTGGATTCACTAAGCCCTACAGTCATGCTATGTTTATACAAGACTTATCTTGAGAATCTCAACTGCTTATAAGAAAAGATGAGAACCAAATTAGAGCCAATGCATTTGAACTTGATACTCCAAGGTGTCAGCTGTGTAACAACAAGAAAAAATGTTTGCTCTGGCTTTTTGGAACCAAACAGTACCATCTTATAAGCAGCTGTATTTAATACCTGTATTATAGACTACTACTCTTCTTTGAATGAAGTATGCTTTCAATTCAAGTTCTGTCATTTAGGCAGCTCTGGGACAAGCTTGAGAGCTCCTCATCATGTTCTGGGTTTTGAGCACAGAGTAACTTAACAAGTTTTTTTTTGTCTTACAGGTATAGAGATTACAGAGCCCCACCATGGAGTTCAACTCCATATGAATTCACTTTGCAGTTCTGGCATGTCCTGGCAGCACGGCTGGCCTTCATTATAGTTTTTGAGGTTAGTTGTGGAAAGGAGCAATGCCTTTCCATCTCTTTGAAGTTCAGGTTGATTTTTTATAGTAGTCCTGTAAAGGAAGTGTCATTATCATTAGTTGCTTGTTCATTATAGCTGAAAGAGGATAAAAAATCACTTGCCCCCAAATTGTTGTCAATCAGCTGCTTCAAAGTGAATTGACAGGGCATGTGCAGATTTTAGAGTCCCTCCAAAATCATATTTTCTTAAGTCATCCAATAAATAATGTTAGTTCCCAACAAAACCATTGATGTTTTATGAAAAATCAGACATGCAACTTCCGTGTACATTAACCACATTTATTACAAGTTCAAGTGTGTGTCAGGAAAATGATGTGTGGCTGTACCCTGATATAAAACTAGAAATGTATACTAACTTTGAAGAAGGTACGATATACTGTCCGGGGAACTGCTTAATTACTTTGACTACAAGCTCTTAACAAGGACTGCTTGTATGTAATGGTTGCTGTTGTTACTCTAACCAGCAGATCCTGCTGTCTCATATTAATTTCAATCACTAGTCATACCCTTAGTTTTACTTTTAAGATTGCAGCATTTTCCCATTTCCAACAGACGATTTATACACACACACACGTGTGTGTGTAAATATATATTATCCAGAGAGAGATTTAAAAAAAAGAGTCACTTTTTAGTCACTAATCAAATCCCTGTTACAGATTTGCAACTGATTTTTAGGCCCTAAAATTTGGTTCTAGAAGTGAGTATGCATCTTTGAAGCAATTACTTTCTTTCTTCTTTTCAGCACCTTGTTTTTGGGATCAAGTCTTTCATTGCTTACCTGATTCCAGACATGCCCAAAGACTTGTGCGACAGAATGAGGAGAGAGAAATACTTAGTCCAGGAAATGATGTATGAGGCTGAACTAGAGCATTTGCAGAGAGAAAGAAAAAAGAATGGGAAACAATATCACCATGAATGGCCTTAGTCAATACCATGCTGCAACAAAAACGCTGTTTGGAAGTTGAAGAGTGCAGTTTCAAAATGAAGTCAGTCTGTCATCAGTGTATGAGATTGGCAATGTATATATGTTCCTGCTAAGCTGTACAGTTGCAGGCTTTGGTAGGAAGTGGAAAACAGTTGCTTCCAAAGAAGAAAATGAAGAGCCTTATCAGCAACCAGTCTGTGGGGAGCACCAAGTACTGGCACTCAAGAATGTGCAGATGGATTGAAAATTTGGATACTGATTTTTAAAAAGGCAATGAACATTCGTGCTGTTCATGAAGGTACTAACAGCGTAATAAAAACAAAAAATTGCCTGTAAACTTATACAGTATGGGCATGACAATAACAAATTACATGATATCCACTACAGCTTCTGATTGCTCAGCTGCATCTGTAATGCCTCTGAAGAAAAAAAAACAAGTGTTGCCTTTGTGGCCATAACTTGATATAAATGAGCTTTCAGGCTTACTGTTTTGTCAGGTTTGTCCTAGTCTCTTGTTGAGATCGTGGATGTGATCCTACCCTAGAAAAGGGGTATATGGCTGCTTAATATATACTATGCAGTTTAAGATTTGCACATCAGTGTCATTAATTTATCCTTCTAGTCAAAAACCAAAAAATCTAAATTCAAAGAGAAAGCAGCACTGAGAGAACACATTGCATTGCCCACACTGCAGCTGTATTTGAAAATGACATGGCTGTGAGTTGTCTTTCCACTTTTATGTGCAGAAAGGCCACCTCCACACACATTCAGGATGAAAGACCTGTCATTTCCATGCTCTGATGTAGCATGCAGATGTCCAACTGTGTTACTGTTCTCTTTGGCCTGTCTGAGCAGTGATTCCATGACTTCACAGAATGCTAACTTGAAATATTCTAATACAGTGCAAATGACTTTGTTCTGAATATACAATTAACTATTTATAGTATGCAAGCTTATGCAGATATATATCAGACATACAGTATAACATTTTGACTTGCTTGTTCAGGGAAGGAGAAGCAGAGCACCTTATAACAATGCTCTTCTTATTGTAATAGTAAATGTTCCAGTAATGTGCACTTCTTTTATTGGGCTAAATAAGTCAAAGCATGGGAATTAGATGCAGGCAGATATGTATACAGATTGTATATAAAAGCACACACACACAGTGATTACTTTTAGATTTTCTATTATTATTTGTATGCATTCTTATAGTTTTGGGAGCCTTTTTGGATAAAATCACTCTAAAAAGTAGATGTTCATATATAAAGAATCAAATTTCATTTTTTATGTGCATACAGTATGGGGTAGTGTAGTTTATGGTCATAGTCACGTTTTGGTGATGAAACTGTCTATTAACATTTCATAATTTGGGAATAGATAAGCACTTAGTTTAAAAAAATCAAAAAAAGCGGGCAGTGTTCACTTGCAGAGAAGGGAGTGGGGAAACCAAGTTACAGTCATTCTGTTTATCTTCTACAATTTTAATAATCATTCTTTATACTGGATGAGAAAAAAAAAAAAAAAAAGAGCCAGCAAAAGCACATCAACTATAAAGGCTGCAAGTTTTAACATTATTTTAGGGATAAAGCTGCAATGAAATCACTGCTGACAGATATGAGAAGAAATGAAATTTTACTTGTTAAAATAGCATGTTGAGCCAAAAAGTGATTCCAATATTCATTTGCATATATTAGAACAATTACTTCTTTTTTTTTGTATAATGCCATATAAAATTAATTTTAAGATCAAAGAGTCCATCAAAGTAGATGAGTAATATCTGCCAGTGGACCATACCTTAAGTTCTTTACTCATTTCACCATATTTATGAAATTCTGTGGTTAATTCCAGCTCTCTGTGACCAGACAAGGCAACTATAGGAGTATCTGCACTATTACACAAAGGAGGAAGGAGATTGGAAGGTATGATCTAATCAGATATATTAGCCATTAGATCTATGATAATGGGCTGATGGAACTCAGCTTTCCATATTTTGGAAGGGCTGGGTTTTTTCTTCATATTTTGGGTTGCACACTAAGTTCCTCAGGAGTCCTTATCAGAAATATCAGCCCTCTCCTCAGCGCTCATAGATTCTTACTATTTAAATTAATTTATTCTCTCACTGTTTAATACTGTGGAATATCAAGCACCACTTGAAAGCATAAACCAGGTGTCATAGGTCCCATTTTTGTGCCAGGTAGTGATAATACTTCAGTTCTTCAGAAGGTCACAGATGAGCTCTCTTTTTAATGTTTTCTCTAAAAACAAAATGCCTTGGCTGGCCCAAGGTATAAAGATTTAGAATAAAATCTGGCAAAAATCAGAAATATTGATTATTTTATACTTTCTTGTTTCTGATGTTGATATTGCCACACGTGAAAATATACTTAGGCAAATTCCAACTGAATTTCCAACTGCATATGAAAGAAAGACGTTTTGTATTTGAGTATGAATTTGGATTTAAATATATATATATTCTTAATGATTTTCAGCACTGGTGTACAGAAATATATCAAAGGCAAGTATGTAGATCTGACATAGTGCAGATTATGCACTGGAAAAGCACAAGAAGTTTTGGAGAAACACTGTGTGTGTTCCTTTGTTTCTGAAGGACATGAACAATGTCTGAAGGTTTTGCCACTACTAGCCATTTGCTTAAGCTGAGAACTTTTTGCTAGACTTCATTTAGTATGCTGTTTGCATAGACTGCACGTTATTTTACTAAAGTATAAGGCACACACTGTCCTCAGGAATAATGTATTTTATGAATGGTGAATGATCTTTTCATATTCTAAGTATTGTCTTTCCAAAAAAATGACCAGTATGAATAGACTGTGCATGCAAGCTGCATTTGTGAAATCTGACAAAGCTTTAGAACTTCAATTTGTGCAAAAATGCTTTAGATCATTGCTGATCTAATCTATGACAACTTTGCTCTATGCATGCACCCTTACAGAGACTGCATGAGCAACTAGATATTTTTAAATACAAAGAATTAGTCCAAAATGTCTTAATAATTCCTAACCCAAAACAGTGTTTTGATTCAGACAAAATAAATTTTCATTTCAGAAATGGCAAAAAATCCACATACATTATACATGTTTCTATTTACTTCTCATTCTAAATTTGTGCCCAATGTGTGGGATCTGAATTTTGGTTAATAAAAAGGAAAAGAAAAAATGCGTGGAATTTGAATGCACACAAAGGTTCTGTTTCACTGGCCTCCCTAATGAGAAGTTCCTTCTTAGGGCTCAGCGTCCCTCTCCATAGAGAGGGATGCACTCACTGCTCAGTATTTACAGCTGAGTGCCAGCAAGGTTGCCTGCAGTTTGAGCAAAGGCTCTCTGTTTGTTATGCTGTCATCTAATTTCCTTACCAAAAAGATAATGCAGTGATTGGGCATCCTGACAGAGCACTAATATTCGGAAACAAAGCAGACCACACAATGGCTTTTTTTTTAATCTTTTCTTTCCAGTCCACTTTATATTTAAGGATTTGTAGAGGAAATGTAGCTGAACTTTTAAGTTTATATTAATGATGACAAGGCTAAAATTTCCAGAGTGTGATGATGGACAATAAGTGGTTTGTGGGTTTGATTATTTTGGTTTTTTTAGAAGTACATATCTTCAGACCTACAAAACAGACACATCAGCTATGCCCTTTTCTGACAGCAAGTAGTCTTGAATTATGTTCTGAGGATCTCATTTAAGCTCCATAGTGATCTAAAGAAAACTCAAAAGAAAAATGTCTGTTGGGTCTAGTTGGAAGTAGGTTAATAGGTACTTACCTTAATGCATCAATTCATTAATTTCCTGAGGTTTTCTTCATTAAAAGTTCTACAGGAGGAAAAACATCTTGGGAAACACAGCTTTAGGGTGAGTGTTAATAAGGGGAAAGGTAAAAATTAGTGATTTTTTTTTTTTTTTCTTACCTTATTAAGATGACCAGTCTAATATAAGTAGTACACGTCTGCAGTTTCCTTCACAGCTGTTTCTGCTTCATACTCCAAATGCAAGTGTTGCCAGAGAAACCTGATAGAGCTATGGAATCTGGTGACACTACTTCTGAGGTCCCATGTGACATCATGAGGCTTATTAATCTTTGAGTTTGTACAGGGGCAAATTAGTACATCCTTATTTAGAAGCTATTTAGAAGCATCACACAATTCTGATTGACTGAAAATGATCCTTGTCCATAAGAAGGAAAAAAATCAAGCTGTTCTCACATAGTTAACTTGAATGCATCACAATTTTTTATTGGAACTATTACAAACTAGATTTTTGTATACACTGAGCAATGGTTAAGTAAATTAAACTTGCTTTGTACAAACAGCCAAATGTGAAGGCAGTAAAGTTAATGGAAAATCAATCATAGTTTCTATTAAGTGTTGCATATTGGAGAAGAGACCCAAAAAGAAAGATCAGATAATTTTGGAAAAACAACAATCCATGTACCAATGATCACTTAAAATTACAGTAGTACCTCCAGAAGCATTTAATTTTTTGTAATCCTCATGAACCACTGCTAACATTGATTACTGGGGGTTAAGACTGAACCCAAACCTAAAAGCAACCTTTCGTAAATGTTTATTCAGTGTTACAGCTGACACTAGAATTCAGAGTTCGCCAGTTAGACCTCTGAGAAAGATGAAGTTATTTTGTTAGTTCTGATGTCTAGTTGGACTAAAACATATGTCGTAACATTTTCTCCAAGTGTTTGAGTGACTTGCAAACCTGAATTCCTGTGGCAGAAAATGTAGCAGTTTTAAAAGCTCTCTGTATCTGTTGGTACTCAACCTCCTGCCAGCAAAGCCCACCTCCTGTTAGGGTGACATGGAACCAACCAGCATTTTGAGGCTGGGGATGATCAGAGGAAGCAAAGGTCTCATGTTTGTCAGACCATGTTCATGAGGAAGCAACGGTCTCGTTACACAAAGTGCTGCCACATCTGTCCCGTCTGCCACTTTTCAAATCACTGCATTTTTCAGTCCTTCTGTCCCTCCCTGCACACACATGTACATCCTGAAGACCCTACACAATTCTGGCATTTTTAAATGTGAATGAATAGATGTGTATGGAAAGTTTTCTCTAATTTTGACCTTGTAACCACATTTAATAGAAATTTGTATTGGCATGATTTTGGCATAGTTGCGATAGCACAATGTTCCCACAGCACAAATATATAACAGCACAACAAAGAACTCTAGAGAAATCACTTTGCTGTTCCATATTATGCAGGAACTTTTTTAATGCGGGACTGGGATTTTGTTTTATATGGTTAATGGTATATTCCCTCCTCGCTGCACTGGAAATTATCTTTTGTCAGTTCTGTTGGCTTGTTCTAACTTCTTGCCATAACCTCTGTAATGTTAAATGTTCCCTGTAGTTTGCACTCTTATTGACATGAAATAGTTGTTCGGATGCTACTAGATAAGAAATTAGGATTAAACCCAACGCAGTCCAAAGCTAATGAGATTTTAAGTAGTGAGAACATGATGGTTTTTCTTTTAATAATGAAAAAAAACAGATCACCTTTTTATTTTATGTTCTATTTAGATGATTGAGAATTTTGTACTGAAAAATTGATGAAACTGTTGACTCTAATTTTTACCTAGAGTAGTATCACTGAAATTTCAGTTGTTTGAAATAATCTCATGTAAAATCTAGCTACGTAACATAGTTCAGTCATTTATACTCTGATAGTCCTGGCTAACTTGCAATATCATGATCATAAAAGATTTCTTAAAATGTGTATATATTTGAAATTTATGTAATATTTAAATACAACTTGGTTTCTAAGTAAGAAATTAGAATATAACTTCAACTATTTTTTCTATTCATAAATCCAAACTTTGTAAGTAGCATTTAGAATAAGATTACCACCAAGTGTCTCAGAGAAAGTGACTTTTATGCACTACAAGCTAGAAGTTCCTCCGTCCTCTTTCATTTTCTTTTGTGTTTAAGATTACTTTTACAAGCCGGTATGTACCCCAGAACTAAAAGAATTCACTAAGGAAAAAGCTGTTGTTCTGATTAACTATTGTAAGACACTTTTGGCATAAATTTGTCTTTGAGATGCTGTTTACTTTATCAAGGTTTACATGTACAAATGCAACTACTTACTGTATCATACACATTTGAATATTGCATTTTTCAGTAATAAACTTGGATATCTTTCAAGGAGACTGGGCTTCATTATTACAAGTACTCAAAGTTCTGAAAAAATATACACTCTAATAGTGAGCATTCATATGCCTTCAATTCATACATTGTAAGGAAATAATTTTAGGGTTAAACTTGACTCAGACACTTGTTAAACATTGAACAAATACTGTGGATTCAGGGTACCTTTAGACTCACTTTTCAAATTTTCAGTCACTTATGGTCTACTGCTTTCACTAATGACTAATAATTTCTTAAATTTAAGCTGCTGTTTGAATTGACATGTTTCTAGTTTCTTAATCTCTTTTTCTTTCCCATTCAGCTGCACAGGCTAGCTCTACTCTGGAAAGATCAATGGCTCAGGACATAAAGCATGAGAGAAGATAAGACAGCTTTAATCAACAGTGAATATTTAATCAGAATGGTAATTTTTTCTGAATTCCAATTTAGCCTTAAATCTTAGTAGAAGACTGAGTATTGAACTACTGATTAACAATTTTAGCCATCAAATATCAGGCTACGTGCTGACCTTAGCAAAAACCTGTAGAATGTCTTACCCCTTTACAAATACAAAACACATTTGGGCTCAATGTGCAGCTTTAGTTGAAACAAACCTAGTACAGAAATACAGCATTAAAGATAGATTCTTCAGCATATTTCTGCAAAGGCATTCTGAGAGAATGCAGTTCTCACTTTTTTTTGGCCGTGAGATATAAAAGATACAGCAGTAGTGGTCACTAAGTTTTGATCTGTCTTGCTAACTGTATCAAGCAGGAACAGAAAGCATGCCACGTGAGACAACAGGCTGCCAGCCAGATTCAGCTGTAAGCTTTTATGAGATTATAAAAGTGGTGTGAAAGGGAGTAACGCAAATATTGACTTAACTCTCGGTTTGTTGACCAAGTGTCTCCCACAAGCAAGACAGTGTCACTTAGAAACTGTTATTTTTGTCTTCTAATTGAGTATCCTGGGACTGTTCCCAGAGGTAGGGCATGAATACAGATGGGATGTAGTTTGGAGGACCAGGTAGGACCATATCTTCATCATAAAGATGGTCCCTGATTGAACAAAAACAAGAACTGTCTTCTTCAGAGAAACATGAGCTAAGTATCAGCTGAGTCTGTAAGTGGCTGAGTTGACTTTGATATTTTCCATCTTTTTCATTTAATGGTGGATTTAAAAAAAAAAAAATCATCCATAAGTTTATCCAGGTAAGAGGTAGTCTGTTGAGTTTGATTCACAACCTAGTGGACTAGGTACATTTTTGCAAGACATTATACTGCAGAAATTATTTCACCTAATCATGTGCCTTTTTAATCAAAATTCAACATGGATTCATGGATTGCTACTGAGGAAACATAAAATGTGGGTTTATTTTCTTTATTGCATACAGTTAGTAAATGGATTTTGCAGCTTAAAAAAAAAAAAAATACATAAACATTCAACCAAACAAAAAGCCTGAAGATAATCTTTTCAAGCTGAAAGGATGTCTTTCCAAGACTAATATGGATAAAGAACAATCCTGGATTTGAAGTAAAATCTGTTACCCTCTTCTATAGCTTTGAATAAGACATTATAAAGACATATTTGTTCCACAGAGGAAGCAAGCACGATTAACTCAGTCAACAAAAGACCAGTCTGGTCTATACAACGTTCCTGTGAGGAGGCTTTTTGTAATACCTAAGAATAGGCACATTCTAGCTCAGCTTAACCTCCATCCTTTCCCCTGAGCTCTCTCCATCAGCTGCGGAGAGAGCATGCCCTCCATCAGAGGGCAGTTCACAGTCTCACCTTAGTGAGAGACCCTAGAAGCTTATCTGAAGGCTTGCTTGTTTTATCACAAGTTCACCTTTGCACGTTTCCCTTCAATGAGTAGTTACTGAACAGAGAATGTGGTATAGACGTATCGCAGCTACTTCCTAGTAGGAGTTTCCATGAAAAGATTCATGAAACATTTCTTCTGAAATAGCAGTGCTTCCAAAACCCTATTGTTTTATGATTTCCCAGTTCTGTCATGAAATTCATAAAAATCTGGCCTTTATTGCTATAGAGAGCAATTGTTCTCTCTTGGTCATCTAAAAGCTGGTAAATGCAATATAAAGAGCTCTTCATTTCTGAAGCTGGAGAAATAAAGTTTGATTAAATGTCCCTTGTTCCTCCACTTCTAGAGACGAGATTCTCTGTTCATATTAGTATAGGATTTTTCCTCAGGATTATAACCAGGTAATTGGCTTCTTTTTTCTTCATTGACACTATTCTTGAAGGTGATATCTTCTGTTCCAGTTTTATTTGTAGTAACTGTAGGTAGATTTTTTTCACAGTCCACCTGAAAAAAAGAACAAAAATACCTTAGTAGTTTGAAGAGTGCATGAACTGCTTTTTTTTGTGGTTTTTTTTTTTTTTTTTGTGTTGCTTAGAGGGTATCATGTTACATGGTGAAATGTATTTTCCTGCAGATCCAAGTGCTTCGCTACTTAAAATGACTGTCAGACCAACAAATGCGTGCTGTTTAGTGTCCCGTCTCCCCACACTCACACCCTATCCCCCCCCAACAGTCACTGATTTTTCTCATTTCCCCATGGAAAGTCTCTAATAAAAGCAACAAATAAAAGCCACAGAAACAACTTCTCAGAACTCCTCTGTTGATGTACAAGTCTTGAAATATGTTTTTGGTGTGTTACCAATCACTGAAATTTAGTTTTTCATTAGCATATTTATCTGCATTTTAGTGGTCTGTCTAATTGGCCTACACTTGCCTGAGTGGTTTCACACTGCAACAAATTAATTAATGTTGTTATTCTATATTTTAAGCAAATACAAGGGGATAAATGCACGTGTGACTTTTTTTCCTGCTTTTATTAACATGGGGATTTATTTCTCTGTAGAAAGTCTCAGTTGAACACCTAAAAGCCAAGTCAAACAGCTGAAGTAAATCTAGAGCCACAGCTGTTCTCCAAATTAGACCATCAAATGTAACGTCAAACTTGATGCAAGCTGAGTGGGGAGGGACTTTATTGCCAAATACTGTGAGTCTTGCAGGCTAAAGATTACTTTCAAGATTTTGAGATACTCGTAGATGTCTCTGTACATGACTTGTATTTCTGAGCCTAGAAGATTTTGCCAAGAAGGAGCAATGTTGTTTTTGTGCAAAATGTTGCGATAGCACAAGAAAACGGGGTGCTCCTCCCTAACGACACCTGGGGAGGAGCCAATATCTCCCCCAGGTGCCTGCAGTTGCCTCTCTGCATGATGAGCTGGCCAGGAGAATGGAGAAGTTCTGCTGGCTTGGGAGGCTGGGATGGCAGCAGGAGAGCTCCATGGACATGTAAGTGCTAAAATTTCTCTTCATGTACTCAGTGGGAGGAGGCAGCAGCTGGGTGAACCCCTCGCTAGGGTGTAAAGTGCGGCTTTGTCCCTGCTCGGCCGCCTGACGGGGAGGTCAGCCCTGTCCACCCATGGGGAAATAAGTAACCTATTGCTGGCTGGAGCTGAGCCTGGGTTTGGCCCGTCTCACTTCCAGTCACGCAGTCACCCCTGCCGTGACCGTAGCGGGCGGCTGCCACAGCTCCGCGCGAGTACTCACATCCTGGCTGTCGTGCCGCACACCGCACCACAGCAGCGTCTTGAGCCTTTCGGACCAAAAGCAAAACAGGTTGCAGATGGGCTTAATTAGCACTGGGGGGATGTCTTCTCCTCTGGTAGGGCCTGAAAGGAGGAGATAGGGAAGTTGAAGGTACGGCTGTAGAAAGCTGGGTGTGAGCTCCGGGTGCCTCAGCATGAGGTGGGCCCTCAGCAGCCACGCTCCCCTCAGGCTGGGCTTCGTGAGCTGCTCACAGGGCTCCCCTGCCACTCTTCAGCCTCAGAGCTGGGTTCTTGTATAACAGGGCTTTGTTTTTGTAAAACACCAACCTGTTAGAAAGCTGATCAGCAGCCCTGCGATGGCGCAGCCCAGGCAGCCGATGGCACTGAAGTAGAGGTAGGACAGCGAGTACCAAGTGTCTGCCAGCAGCGGCCTGAGGAGACATGACAGAGAGAGAAAAGCCGCTTGTAATGGCTGCTGCCATGGGGCGTGCTTGTGCTGGCCTGAGCCCATGGTGATGGGGAAATACCTGCTGGCGGCTGCTGTGGGGGCCACCGTGGTCAGCAGGCTCGTAGTGTTCGCCAGCGTGCAGTTGAGAGTCGACAGCTCCAGGGGAAGGGTCTTGGTGGCTGGCGCGGGATAAATGAAGGAGCCGATGCCAGCCCAGAAGGCCAAGGTGATCCCGGTTAGGAGGCCAACGATAGCGCCCTTGGTAGGGAGAGAAAGGAACAGTCAGAGATAGGGAGTGCATGGGAAGCACATCTCAGCAAATGTTTGTGGTTTCCCTGTCAGCATATATCATCTAGGCGCTCTCTTGGCTGAGGTGTCAAACACGGTGACCTGCTTTCCTCTAGGTAGGAGAGCTGCAGCAAAACGGTGGTGATCAAAACTACAGTGACAGAGTAGAGTCTTACTGCCAGGTAAATGTGGTGGGACCACCCATGGGGCTGTGTGAAAAGAGCTCATGCTATGCTGTACCTGAATTAAAACCCGAGTTAGTGAAGGCAGAGTGACTGAAGTCATTCTGCACTTCCCAAGGTGGATATGGGTTTGAGGGTGTGGGGGGCATGTGTTATGTTGATTTTTTATGTAAAAGAGAAGAAATTAAAATATTTAATTAAAAAAAAAAAAAAGTCAAATGTTGATCTAATTATTCCACAGTTAGGTAGAGTTAAATTCAAACTGGATACGTGCAGACAGTGAGAAGGGGTTTCTAAACAGTTCTCAGGCTCTAAGTCTGATGGCCAGCTTGGACTCTAAATCCAAGTCTGAATCCACAAAATAATTTTCATGGTGGGGTCTTAACCAAAATACACTGAGGTACTTTTTGTGTTCTTTTAGTTAATAAGGATTTTTTTTCTTACCTTCCAGTTAACACAAGGAAAGATAATTCCCAGGGTAAATAATCCCAGCATGGGACCCCCACACATCCCGTGAATGGAGAGTGCAGCCTGTGGACGTAGAGAAGAGACATAAGCCTAAGGAACAGCTGGGGGAGCTTAAGCAATTCTGATTGCCATCTGCAAGTTTCAGTGAGGGAGAAAGGACAAACAGTAACTTTGACACACCATGAAAGAACTGCAATCAATATCAACTTCTTGGAAATGAGTAAGTAGCAAGAGATTTTTTATAATTCTTTTTTTTCTTAATTATTTCACTTAGCAGATGAGGAATTAAGTGTCCACAGACATTGTTCAGGTAAGCTAGCAGGCCCCAGGGATGTCAGCATTACTGGTTCAGTTCATTACATTTCAGTTTGTTAATGTTCAGTTTGTTGCATTTCTAAAGCACTAGATACCTGCACGATTCCTCCCATCAGTGATGCTGCTGCAGCCATTGAAGTGCACAAGGCGCCATATAATATACCTGGAAAAGATCAAGCAGAATGATTGTCAGTGCTGGTTCATAGTGCAGTCCATTTGTAATTGATGTAGTGTCATAAGTGACCAGGCAGCATGGAGGAATTTGCAGTATGGGTTTTGATATGTAAAGCAGACCATTAAGCACTCAGCACTGTGAAGTTATGTTGATTTTGTTGCCTGGTGGGGTTTGTTTGTTTGTTCTTATGAAGTAGAATTTAGCAGTGGAATTGCATTAGAAGTTATGTCTCCTGTAAAAATGTTTCAGTTGCTATTGCCTTTAAATAATATTTTTAATGATCTAATGATTGAATTGAGCAATGATAAACAAAACAGCTTTTTTTTTTTTTTTCCACTTTACACCTGTTTTAACCTTGTGGTAGACAACTCTGTTGTAGAAGTCTCGAGTCAAGACTCAGCAACAGAATTTCTTATGTGCTAGCAAACCTTTGTTACTGGATGTAAAAATGGTTCTAACTGTACTAACTGTAGAAGCTAAGAAGTAAGTGGTAAATCTGGAACAAAATGTTGGAGTGGTTATGGAGACAGAGTCTTGGTTTTGCTCTTCTGTGATGTTATCAAATTCCAATACTGGGTTATGATGCTAATACAATACTTATAAAAGGGTTATGACATTATGACATTGCTGCAATGCTTCTAAAACTTATCTTAGAAATTCAAACCATTTTGGACTTGGTTTTGACAGTTTTTCTTTTCATTTTCACATGTACATTGTCTTCTGAAAAAAATTGAAAACCTATGATTCTCTAAATTTGAACAGAAAAGTCTTATTGTGCTTCTTACTATGAAGTAATAATATTCAGTAATACTACTATAGGCCAATGTGGTAATTACACTGATATTCTTTTTGTGTTGTAAAGGAGTTTCCAGAATCTTCTCTATTATCTTAAGTACGTTAAAAAAAAAAAAAAAAAAAATTGTGCTTTTTCATGGTTGATGCTAGCCTATATTTGTTTCTGTACCATGTGATATGGTACAGAACATGCTAAATTTTCATGAAGCATTAGACTGATGAAGGCTTAAAGGACAAGGTGGGGTTGGAAGCAGAAATGGATTTCTGAAGTGGTCAGTACAGGCACTGCCCCTCGCTAATCGCACAAGTGCTGGGTTTGCTTTGCTTTGGAGTACAGTTTCATTGTCCTATGTGATATAATGTGCAAGCTTCTGCAAGTTAGCAATGGGCTTCTTTGTTCCTACCTTTCTTCATTTTTAGCCCTTGAACTATAGACTAGCTGAAGTATCTTTAGCTTTATAGTTCAGAAGCTGTTCTAGCAATGCAGTCCTTAATTTTACTGCAAGGAAAGGAGCACAATTCTGTAGGTACTGCATGTGTTCACTGGCAAACTTCCTGAATTCACATGACAGAGACATCACAGCTCAGTGATGTGGTTGTTCAGATGTTAGTAGACCATATTGTGATGCACAGTTACGAGAAGTATTCTTGCTATTCAACTTAAGTTCCTCAGATAAGTAACTAAAATTAAGTTAAAAGCATCATCTCTGGCTTGTTCTGTGGTTAACAGAGATGTGAGAAGGGGGAAGAAGCGTCTCCAGGGGGTAGAAGAGATCATAGATGGGCTGATTACTCTCTATATAAGCCTTTCTTTTGCTATAGACCAAGTAGAAAGCCTTAAGGCAATAAAGCTTCTTGCCAGAGTATATAAAATCCCACACTATTCTTTCCTGTAATAATAGCAATTGGGAGGGACAGAGACCATTGCCTTTAAACAGATGGATTCCACTTGGGCTACCTACATAAGCCTTTGCTGATCCATGTGCTCTTCTTCTCAGAGAGGTTTGGCAAACACTGCTTGACCAAGTCTTCAAAGGTAACAGTTGCTAAAGCGTTGATGCTTGCCGCCACTGTGCTGTAGGAGAGAACAAGGATGTTAAGTAAATGCAAAACTGAAATGAAGTTGTATTTATAGAGAAATGCCGCCTCTTTCTCAGCATTAATAGTATAAAATGTACTCTTCATGCGCAGATAGCCCTGATGAAAAGCTTTCTCTTCCTAACTATGATATTATGGCTGTCAGGTTTTCAGTTATTTCAGTAAGCTGAGCTCTTTTATGAAGAGAACAAACATTTCCTCAGCTTTACCATACACTTTTCTTTGTGTTGGTCATGTTATTCTAAAACGTATTTGAGATAAAAGAGGTATTGGAGATATGGAGCCAAACTTTGGTATAATATAATACAACTTGGCAAAGTGCTACGGCTTCTTTCTGGAATGTGCTAAGAAAAACAGCTGTGTATTACATAGTGTTTCTTGTTTTGGCCCCGTTCAAGGAATCAGTGGTGCGTAGCTAAAATGTCACTTCATACCTCAGCGTTCCACTGAATGCACATGCAACAAATAGTCCTGGGACTCCTGGCATCGAGGAAAAGATGTCCATAACAAAATACGGCATGAGCTGGGGCAGAAGACACAGAAGACCAACATCAGAAATCAGTTAAGATTTTGCTGGGTAACAGAAGATAAGTAGCTGCTTCTGATCATGCTGCTTAATTCTGGTTTTGTTCCAGCTAACAAGTCATTTCAGATTTTGAGAAAAGCCTCAATTGTGTAGCAAAAACACTCCATCAGATCAGTACTGCAGGAGTGTTAGAATATATGGATACTAGCCCTGATTCAGCAATCACCTCAGTGCCTGCAGAGTGACACAAAGCATCCCACAAAATCTAAATGGTCTTTACTCATGCAATATCTGTGCCCAAAGCAGCTCCAAATAATAATAATCTTATAATAATAATAATAATAATTTTAGAAATAATAATTATTATAAGTATCTATACCTGATCAGGAGCTGAAATGAAACCAGCAGTCCAAGGGTCACAATTCTTGTAGTGAGAATACATCACTAAACCACAAAATACTGCACACACCAGGACTATCCAAAGTCCCAATAAATTCAGGTAAAGTGCTCTAAGAACAGAAGAGAAATTCTATTTAACAAAAGATAAATATAGGAAAAATGTTATACATTAATTATCCATAATTTTTTGAGACATCTTGATCAAAGCTAGCTGTACTACAAAAAAAAAAAAAAAAAAAAAAAGGTGAAAAACACAGCCTGTTCATGCTATACAGTAAAAATACATGTTCTAGGTCATGATGTACCATTGGAAGAGATTCATGCAAAGCCAGTAACTGTTCTATGCAGCACAGGCTGCACCAGACCCTGAGGCTGTCCCTCCTCTCACTTGTATGAGAGGATTTTTGTCTGTTTGGAGTTGTTGCTCTTCTCCCTTTAAGATGTACAGAATATTATTTTGCATGGATTCCATTGTGGTTGTGATGCTATTGTGTGAAGCAACGTGCTTTTCTTTTTTAGTCAGGGAAATGGACATGAATGGTATCATCTGCTGGGGAGGTTGTGTGACTGTGGTTCAGTAATTCTGTAGTTCCAGGAACCTGCCAGGTATTATACAGCCTTCATTGTGTTTGGTCATCACCTTTCGCAAGGTCCCTGGCTAGGGCCAATTCCAGTTCAGAGCTATGCTGTTGGGACTTTCACTATTATCCAATAAGTTTCACTATTCTCCAGTAATTCTGTTTTTTTGTTTTTGTTTGTTGTTGTTTGTTTGTTTTTTGTTTGTTTGTTGTTGTTGTTGTTTTTAAATGTATGTTTTATACTTTTAATCATTCATGATCCCATTTTATTTAGACGATGCTTTGTTCTATCGTACTCCATTAACTGATTAACCAATATCAATAAAATACAATATGGATAGGATTCCTGAAAGAATGATTTTCCAAAAAAGGTACAGTCAGTGCTTCTTTGGGTGTCGTATCCAAACTCTGCAGCTGAAGATGAATTTGGCAGCTTGACACCAGATAAATGAACTGCAAATTTAGCTTACCTACTTTACTTTCTTAATGTATTTTATGTAGTTTAGGACCAGAGGGAAAAGACTAATAGGCCAAAGTTGGCTAACTACCACCCAACATTGTTCCAATATTTATTTAGACAAACTGTTGGTATAATTCCATGTCTGTCAGTACGCTTGATTGCTAGGATAGGTTAAGGATAGGCAACTTACATCTTAGCGTGCTTCTCGGATTTGCAAGAAATGCATCTCTGTATTGTGGACTGATTAACTCCATAGAGCCCCAGCCATGTAAATGCTCCGCCAACAACAATTGTCCAAAAGGTATGTCGTCTTAAGGGATCTATATCAAAGCTACAAAAGAAAAAGAGAAGCAGTTCACTTACTGCAACAGAGTTTCATTCAGCAAGAGGTAGATGATTAGGTAGGACTAAGAAATAAATAACATCTAGAAGGTTTATGTTGAAATTTCAGATCTTCATGTTACACCAAACAACCAGCAAACCATCCTGCCTGGGATCCCATTATCAGTAAGCAATAAAGCCATACACTAAACTCTTAAAAATCCTCCAAGCTTTTAGTTACATCATCCTGAAGTATCATTTTCTTTAAAAGATATTGCTTCAGCTGCAGTGTTATCTTTTTTTTTTTAACAATGAAATTTCATTACTCAGCAATTCTAACCATTACAAGAACATCTTTCTGTCTTACATCTGTCTTCTTTGCAATTCTGTTAATACGTGTTGCAGATAACATTTGACCTTGCTGCTATTTTCTGTCAGTGACTTGCCTTGATCAATGAACTTTTCAGTCAATGCCCCAAACAGCAAAATGAAGGGAAGTTTGCTATCCGAGTGCATTGGTTCCCCATTTCTAACTGCTGTGGTGAGTGTACGT